CAGCAGGAAACAGAAGCCGGCTGGTGGGGGTAAGGGTTCCCTGGTCTAGAAAGGCAGCAATGCCAGTGACCCAAATACCGCTGCGGTGAGCATCAAAGGCCTATTAACCCAACCACACAGAATCAGATGTGGACTTAACCTTGAAAACACTGTTTCAGTGCCCAGGCCTGGAGAATTTCCATTTGTCCTGCTGACTCTGCCCTGATTCTAGTGCAGCTTAAGCCCAATTACTCTTCATGTCACCTCCCTGCACTTCCTGCTCCTGCTCCTTCTATGCAAGGCCCAGAGGACGTGGGATCTGCCTGGAGCCCTCCTTCCCCATCAGAAAATCCTCACCAAACCCAAGCCAAGGAGATGAGAAGCACCTATGGTACTTCCTTAGACCCATGGCCTTGCTCCCCTGAGTCCCAGGAAGGATGGGTTATAAATTTTCTTAATAACCCAGGTGGAGCCCAATCTCAGAGCACTGGCTAGGTACCCCACACAATAGGCTGAGAGAAAATAAAGATGTCATCTCCCACTGCCATGACACCCGGTCCTTGTCCTCTTCCAGAGTGGAACAGGCAGTAAGGGATTAATTCAGAGGAGCTCACTCTAGAAGTTGGAGCTCCCAGTGAGAGCTCCTAGTGCTCCTCATGGGAACACCTAGCTGAACCTGGTGGCAGCAGCACCTGCTCTGAGAGGCCAAGAGAAGGGGCACCTTTAAACCAAAGCTGCAGCCTCAACCCAGCTTCCGGACCAGAAAAAAATCCCAGGCAGGGAATTAAGAGTCTCAATAACATTTGAAAACTATACAAAGAACTTTAACATACATTCTCTCATTTGAGGCTCAGAAAACCCCCAGAAGGTAGGAATTATTTAACTCATTCTTTAGATGGGGCTGGGCATAGAGGAACTTGACCTTGTGAAGTGCCAACCCTGTGCTAGATCCATGTGTCAGGATGCTACGTTAATAAGTGCATGTAGCAGTTACTGCTTTCTGCTGTTGTTGGGGGCAAGTGGTTAGAGGAGCCATTCACAGAATAATAAAATGTGTTCTCCCACCACCCCTGGAAAGAGCAGCCATGTTTTGTGACAATGAGATTTGTACTCCATACCCTAGGGGAGTTATCTGGATTTTTCTTTCTGGAAAAAGAAAGGGGATATGGTTAGGTAGGCATGGGCCTTTGCTTCACAGGCTGGGAGACAGGACAGAGAGGGAGGAAGGACACGTGGCTTTCAGAGGAGGATCCCAGATTTGGATCTCAAGACAGGTAGATGATTGAGGCACTGGAGTGGCTGGCAAGCCTCCCACTGCAACATAGTGCCTGCATGCTGTTGGTGTCCTAGAAATGGCAGAGCTGAGCTGGCACAAGTGCACAAGATGACTGTAAGGACCTGCATCCTCCAAAAGACCATGAGAATCTGGATAAGGACAGGCCAGAGGCCGTTGTCATCACCAAGGGCTGAGGTCTAGGCCCCTCCCATTCCCATTTCCCTGATTCCCAAAGCACCCCTCCCCCATTCTCATGGCAGGAAAGGGTGGAGACTGAAGTCCAGAAATGCCAACTAGAAAACTTTGCCAAATTTAGATAGTAGGAGAATTCAAACTTGTTTTCATTTGATTTAGGAAAATAAAAATAATTATTTCTTGACATAGAGTATCCCAGAGCAATAACTCGTTATTTTATTTCATCCTCATAGCTACCCAGCAAGATGGAAATCACTAGTTCCACTTTCAACAAAGTTTCTGAGACTCAGGAAGCTTCAGGAATGGTTTGAAGTCAGTCCCAGAACCAGCAAGTGGCACAGACACGAACCCAGTTGGTGAGACCCAGAGCCAGAACTGGTTCTGGAGAGCACAAGTCACCATCTAGAAAAGTGACGCAGATATCTCTTATTTTTCAAGTAAACTCCCCCTGGGATTCATTAAAGACATTTTATAAGAAGGGAAGAGAACAGTAAATCCTGGTATCTAGGACACCTCTGGCCCCTGGGTGCTCCTTGGCAAGAAATTCCAGATTCTAGACCTGTGCTGTCCAATACAGTAGCCACTGGTCGCATGTGGCTATGGATCAGGTGAATGAAGCTAGTTCCAAACTGAGATGTGCTATAAGTGTAAAATGTACTCTAGACTTCAAAGACTTTGTATGAAAAAAATGAATGTAAAATATCTCATTCATAATTTTTTTAATTGAAAAGTAAATTTATTTCAGGTTAATGTGTGGGTGTACAAATAACCAGGATAAAATATTTGATTGTGTTAAGTAGAATCTCTCTTGTGGTTATATCTCACACTCAAAAGGTGTGCCAAACATCCCCACAACAAGCCCCTTTATAATTTTTATACTGATTACATGTTGAAATAACATTTTAGACAAACTGAATTAAATGAAATACATTATTAAAGTTAATTTTACTTACTTATTGTTATTTCTTATAACAATGCTAGTGGCTACTAGCAAATTTGAAATAATGTGTGTGGCTTGCACCTGGGTAGCCCCACTCCAGATCACAAATCTCACCCTGGTTTCTACACACCCCTCATCCGGCCCCCGCTCCTAAGAACTATGTTAAAAGTCAAGGAAGCTGAGTTGTCAAGACTCCCCAAGCATTCTGAGAATGTCCTCTGTTCTCAGCACTTCTCTAAATTCCTGCACCTACCCTCCTGCCTCTGGATCTGGCTCTGTGCTCAGCAACTGCCCAAGCACTCAAGTATAGCCACCATTTCCAAGTGGTGGGATCTACCAGAAACCACATTTTCTGTGGTCTGAGGAATTCTGATAACCAGGTTTTATTTTTTTTTTTAACTTTATTTGCCCTGATCACATTTAACACTAAGATTTTCTTTTTTTAATTTTCTTTGAGACAAAGTCTCACTGTATTGCCCTCAGTAAAGTGCCTTGGCATCATAGCTCACAGCAACCTCAAACTCTTAGGCTTAAGTGATTCTCCTGCCTCAGCCTCCCAAGTAGCTGGGACTACAGGCACCTGCCACACAGCCAGCTATTTTTTGGTTGAAGTTGTCATTGTTGTTTAGCTGGCCCTAGCTGGGTTCGAACCTGCTAGCCTCGGTGTACATGGCTGGTGCTGTAACCACTATGCTACAGGTGCCAAGCTGATAACCAGGTTTTCAAAGCCCAGGCCTCCAACCCTATTAGCAACTGGGAGCTGGGAAGCATTTTCCCAGGCTTCCCCCATACCCAGCCACACCAGATGGTGAGCTCCTCCCAGAGCAGAACAATGGAAACAAACTCAACGTATTGATCACTTATTACCGGCCACCCGCTATGCTAAGTGTTTTATATGTTTTCCTTTATTTAATTCTCTCCACTCATCTATAAGTGAAAAAGTACTGTCCCCATTTTGAAGACAGGAACCTGAGCCTCCCAGAGGCCTGGACCTGTCTCCATATCCCCGCTTTTTCCTCTGCCCCAGACTCCTTCCCTGGAAGCAGACCAATTCTCTGAATTTCTGGCACCAAGCACAGTTCCTGGTACATAAAAGATACTCATTAAATATTGGTAAAATAGGCAAAAAACCCTCTGACAGACCCTGCCCTTGGCCCTTTCTGGCCTTGGCCAAGAGGCACACCTTACTCTCCTGGAGCCATACACTTGATGAAAGTTCTCACGCACTCATCTGCAGGGCCTGACCTTTTCTGCCCCTGCCCACTCTCTTCTCATCACCTCCCACCACAATACCCTCAGAGGTCACCCCTGCCCAAGTCCTTAGCCAAGTCCGAGATGTACAGATCACCTGCCCCACTGAGGGGTGGTGCCTCAGGGTTATATTTAACTCCAGGCACCTATGGAGCTGCCAGCTCCCCCTAGCAAAGCCCCTCCAGGCATAGCCAGTCCCCTTCTATTCCATGCTGGGGTCCCTGGAGCTCAAGTTCCATTTCTCCAGTCCCGGGCCCAGCTGGTGCCTGTGTCTGAGCCACGTCCTGGAGCTGGGCTCAGCTTTCTGGATTCCTTCTTATTCTTTCCGCCTGATTTAGAACAAGGCCACCCAGAAGTCCTCATGCTTTTCCCCTCCCTATTCCTCAGCTCTGACCCTGGGGACCCTGATACTGGACTGTACTGAAATAAAACTTGCCACACCCTCTCGGGCCTCCTTCCCCAGGCCACTGGTCCTTCTCTTCTTGCCCTGGTCAGTTTCCCAAGATCCCAAGCTATTTTTGCTTCCACTCCAGCCAGCTGTTTTCCCCATGGTGGAAGTTGCCAGGCTGGTACCCTGTAGGATACACACAGCAAAGACAGAGCAGCAGGAGCAGACTTCACCATTGGAGCAGAGCTCACCTTTGCCTTCTAGGCCCTACAGACCTGCTCGGTGCCTCCTGCCTTAGCTGACTTCCTCAGATCAACTGCCAGGCTCCAGGTGTCTACCAGGTATACCCCGACCCTCATCCTCGCCAGATCCCTACTCAGGACCTCCCCAGCCACCTTTGATCATCTGCTACTTGCCTTGGCACCCTTGAAAGATGAGGAGCCATAAAGCCTCTTTCCCTTTTTTCACAAGAAACACGGACCCATCACCACACTCTGCCATGGGAGACATCCCAGCCAAGCCCGAGGGCCTCCCCACCAGTGAGGTCTGCAGGTCTGTTCTGCATGCACCACAGACAGGGTGGAGCTCCTTTGCTTCTCACTGCCTCTGTTTCTCCACTGGCATGAACTCCCTGTTTCCCAAGGAAGTGGATGGAGAATAATGACTTCCTGATTTGTTACTCTGAATTCCTCCAATAAGACATGCTACATCTATGAGGGCATCAGGCCTTCCCATAAGGCATAGGAAGTGAACGTATCTGATGCTCAATCTTCTGGTGCTTGGCTCCAGTAAGCACATGGGGTAGAAACTAATAACTATAAAGCATCCATCTATCATCTTATCAGGCCTGACTGTGCTTTGTTTGCATAGTTATCTTCCCAAGGGCTGACATTTTATATCTACTACAGGCTGATATATTCTCCTACCTGCCATATCACTCATAAAGGGTAGACGAGACTCAGGTCCATTACCTGTCATTACACCATGTACATGTCGCCGGGGGCCAAAGCATCGATTCTTCTTGAATCTCCCCAGCAGTGCAGCCCCTGACTCTGAGGCTCCAGGTCCAGTAGGCTGTGGACTGTGTTCCCTCCTCAGACCCTGGGCAGCCTCCACGCCATCCGTTTTTGCTCTTCTGGCTGACCCCCTCCTCAGAGATGGTAACACCTGCTGAGCTGCCAGCTGCTTCAGAGGGGACCTGCAGGAAGAACAGAGGCCCCATCACTGACCAGGGCCAACAGCACACGTCCAGGTCTTAACTGTTCTTGAATGCCCTCACCGTCCTCATCTTGTTCTTTATTATTAGGTCCTGCAATTCCTGGTGACTACCAACTCAATGTCATCCAGGTTTTCCACTGGAAGCATGCTACCCACTAACCCTGCCCCAAGCCTCAACACAAACACACACACATGCACACACATGCACACACACACACATACACACACGCACTCTTCATTCCTGTTTTCTTACCTCTGCATATTTCATGCTGCCCGAGTGTTTTTTTTCCTTTCTTTTTTTTTTTTTTTAAGACAGAGTCTCACTCTGTCACCCTCAGTAGAGTGCTGTGGCGTCACAGCTCACAGCAACCTCCAATTCTTGGCCTTAAGCAATTCTCCTGCCTCAGCCTCCCAAGTAGCTGGGACTACAGGTGCCTGCCACAATGCCCAGCTATTTTTTGTTGCAGTTGCCACTGCTATTTTAGCTGACCAGGGCCGAGTTCAAACCCAACACCCTCGGTATATGGGGCCGGCGCCCTACCCCCTAAGCCACAGGCACCGCCCTACCTCTGCATATTTAATTTTATCTGCTTTAATTAAAAGCTCCACCTTCCGATCCTACACTCAAATCCTAGCCATCATTCAGTGCTTTGCTCTGACCCACCAACAGGACCCCAGAGCTGTTCCACTGCCCTAGGAAAGGAGAACCAGGTGCTCTCCTCCACTAATGGGCGAGTCCATGTGACTGTGGAACATCCCTCAGCTATTCTAGCCCAGGCCCCCAAGGGGGCTCCAGGAAAGACACCCCACCTGTGGCTAATGATGAGCATCTCTCCAAAGCCCTTCATCTCAGAGTGAGGGACAAGAGTGGAGATGCCAGACCCCCAGGTGACAGAGACATTGGCCCCACGGAGCCCCTGTACTTCATGATTGTGGTTCCCACCATGTTGGGAGGGGTTAAAGGGCTTCCAGCCAAAGCAGCCCTGCACCCCGACAAGGCGTGGCTGCCAGCCTCTGAGGTGGAAGGGCAGGCTCCTACTGCCACACACTCTGACCCTGAACTCTGCCTTGACCTTGGGCTCTTCCAAGCCTCAGTGGAACTACTGCTGAGAAGGGGCTGTAGCAGATGGAGATCTTCCACCAAGGTACTCAGCACCACAGCCAAGAGGAAGCCTCAGGGACAGGAATGAAGGTGACAAAGAAGAGAGGGACAGGGAGGCTCCTCTCTCCTGGCCTGCATAGATTTTGTGAGCATGATGATGATAATATCTCACATGCCACCTATATATTGATTTATACCCTTCACGTGGCTCTCGCATCCCCAGACCTATCTGGACTCTCAGTAGCTCTGTGAAAGAGTGTTTTAAAGAAGAGGCAACAAAGCACAGAGAGGTTGAGATGCTTGCTAAATGTCACACAGTGAGTGAGTGAAAGAGTCAAGACTATAATTCCCGATTCCCAATTACCATTCTTTCTAGCAAGCTCCCTGGCCCTAGGTTAATGTCATTTTCCTTCCAAGTCACCCCAGGAGTGAGGGATGAGTAAGACAGATGTGAAGGGGATGGGGAACAGTGGCCAGTTTGCCCCACTATGAGGGGATGGGAAGGAAAGGAGAACAGTCACTGTTGCTGCTTCCCTGATAGGAGGGTCTAGGAGGAAAAAAAAGAGAGAATAGAGTGATAAATACAGAAGACAGGGAGGCTCCTGGTTAACAGGAGCAGCTCAGGCACAAAGGAAATTGACTGTGATAAACAACCACAGCTCTGAGGAGGCTGGGCTGACCTTGAGCCTCTCAGGCGACCTGGTCCTCTACTGCTCAGGCCTCTGAGGCACTTCTGTGCAAGGCAACACCAGCGGTTAGATACCCCTTTGAAAAAACAAGCAATTATAACTAATATTATTATCTTCAAAAGGCACACACACATTTCATATACTTTTATATATGTGATATATTCTTTAAGAATGAACCCCCACACACAAAAGTCTGCCTACATGAGGAAAGATCTCAGCTACTCCTGAGTAATGAGATTCTCCATCTGATTCCAGAACAGCTCTGCTTCCACTGACAGAGAAGAGCTCACAGCCCAGGACATTCCTACCTGGCCAGGAAAGGCAGGACCCACATCCCTCTGGAACAAGCAGCCTAAGCCAAAGACCAGGACACCCAGAGCAGGTGGCAAATCCATAGAGTTTGGCAGATAAATATCCCCAAACCTCCATGGCAGCCATATAGCTTGCTGCCATTCACCTACCTCCAGTCAACAGGGGGCTGGACCTCTAAGCACCAGGCTGGGGAGGAACAGAAAATCAGCCCCTTGGCATCAGCGCTGTCTGTTGGGTTCTCATTCAACCTGGGAGTTTTTAGTGAGACCTACTATGTGCACTAGATACCTTGAGGAAGGGAGAAGATACTGCGCCCTTAAGGAGGCGGCCACCATCCCACCCCACAAGCTGCTCGGCCACCTGGCAGTGGTGGCCCCACAAACAGCTAGAGCACGCACCTTTTTGCTGGGGTGGGAAGGTAGAGACAGAAGTGCTCTAAGGTTCTCCTGCAAGGTGGGGCTGAAACATAGTCACAGCAGATGGTGCTGTCGCCCTCACTCCGGGATTCTCATTCCTAATTATCTGTGCTGTCAGCAAAACAATTAACCCTCGAAGAAAAATTGCACCGTCCACTCCCAACCATATGAAAAGACAATTTTTCTCAAGGACGAGGGACACTTAGGGCATCACTGTGCACAGTTCCATGCTCGCCACCCATCCTCTGAGCTCCGTGCTCTGCGGCAGACATTGCGGTAGCCCCCTCCTCTGAGCCTGCAGTTCCTGGTTCCCTTCCCATAAAAAGAGGGGGAGAATGCAATCCCTAGGGCCCCCTTCAGTCCCACAGTACCACCTTCTACAAGCCCATTTCTTTCCATCTCAATTTTAAGTTCCTTTGAAGCGGAGTTTCCAATTGTTTTTTCATTCATTTGCTCACTCCTTTATTCATCCATCTATCCATTCATTCATTCATTCAGTTATTTTGTATTTACCATGTTGCTCCCAGGAGATACCAAGAAAATACCCGTTCAGCCTTTTTGACGACTTCTTGGAGCTTTCTCTCCCTTGAGATGCAGGGAGAGGAGGGATGGATGGGGTGGTGGGGGAGGAGGCTGCCAGGGCCTGAGGACGGCACTGGCTGAGTATCCAGCCATAGGAGATCAGTCCTGTTGCCACCTGTGGCTTCTCTCTGCAGATGGGTGATCCCACCCCTCACCCATCAGCAAGATGGTCCTATTCACCAGTTTATGCTGTGACAAAAGAGCTCGCCCTTCGTAGGTGCTCATTAAACATCTGAAGCATGAGTGAATAAACAGAATGTTTCTCCTTAAAGAGACTGTTTTAATATAAAGGAGAGTTTTCCCAGGGCTAAGGTACAATGCTTATGACCTCAGTGGTCTACTATTTAAAGCTAGGACCCACTGGTCTAATTCACCCATCATTAGGCAGTATCATGGAAAAGAAGGCAGGGTGAGCAAGGAGCAGTGGCACCTTCCCTGCCAGTCCTCAAGGGTCTTCAAGGATGACAATCTCCAGGGCCATGGTCCACAGATGTGATGTGGAGAGGATGAGAGGCTGCTCCTCCCAAGGAAGAGACAAGAGAGACTCTGCTCCAGGTGACCTCACTGCAGGGCCTCACTCTCATCCCCCAGACTGGGGAACTGACCAGGCAGAAAGGAGAGGAAAAGGAAAGATCAGATCAGGGCACTGTCTGAGCCATCCTGGGGCTGCAGGCCCCCTCTGCAGATAGGGTCAACACCCTGGGCATCCAGGAAGGAATATAGAAAACAGAAAGTGACACGGGAGCTGGAGCCCCTTCCTCTCCCACCATTTTGCCCAGTTCAAGCCTGGTGGTATTTCACTCCCCTCTTCCTGTCGCCCATTCGTCTACCACAGCTTGCTGCATCCTGGTGCCCAGGTTCCCTGCCAGCTCCTCAGCATAAAGGAGTTGTGTTTATATTCAAAGTGGGCTTCTGCCCACTCAGAATCTGCCCACTCAAAGACAGCACATGTGACTGCACCCCTGCCCGGAGCCCAAGTGGGACAGATGCCAACTTCTGGCTAGAGACATTTCTAAATATGAGCTTGGCACAAAGAGTCAGGTTCCCAGGCCTCCTCTGCCCTGGGAGACCCAGCCAGGATTTTCTAGGCTGCTGGGAGGGAGAGGGCTGGGGGCAGGCAGGATCCGGAGGCAGCCAGTTGAGATGGCCATGGTCCCCCCAGAGACATTGCTTAAACCCTGCCCTGGCCCTCTAGCCTCATCTGGGGAAGAGAAAGGTCTACCCCACACCCAGAAAATCTCATCAATTGCCCACAACCCTTGGCAGCAGGGACAGGGAAGCCACTGCCTGCTCAAATGTGCAAGAATTAAAAATATACAAATGGAATATATTTTTCTTCCCCTCTCTTCAACCCCCTGAAGCCTAGGATGCTTGTTAAAAATAGCCTTGCTGTGGCATGGATCTTACACAACCCAATGGCTGGCAGGAAAATTAAGGAGCCATTGGAGACAGCGCTGCTAAGTGGCTACCCCTGGGGAGCGGGATAGGGAGGGCCAGAGGAGAGGAGGTGCCTTCAAGCATTTCCAGACACACTTCTATACTGCTTCGACTTCTAACAGCAAGCATATATTATTTTGATAAGTCCTTTTTAAAATTAAAACATAAAGGCTGAATTTACATCCAGTTAACCCAACAGCACAATGCTGTCTGGCCTGGCAGTGCACAAGTTCACCCAGGAGGCTCAGGCCACCAGCTGCAAACACAGGCTAGCATCATGAAAGAGCCCAGATCCAGAGTCAGTCTAGGATCTGTAACTAGATGGCTGTGTGACCTCAGGTAAGTTGCTTGAGCTCTCTGGGCATCGGTTTCCTTAACTATAAAATGAAGCAGATGGGCCAGGCACAGTGGCTCACCCCTGTAATCCTAGCACTCTGGGGAG